TTGTTCTAGTACTGCAATGTCTTAAATACCATAGCTTTAAATTAAGTGTTAATATTTGACAGGGTAAACCCCCAGTTTTGCTTTTCTTCTTTAGGATTACTTTGGTTCTTCTTGACTCTTTGCATTTCTTTTTATTTTTTGTAAGTTATTTTTATTGAGACGGGGTCTTCCTATGTTGCCCAGGCTGGTCTTGGACTCCTGGGCTCAAGTGATCCTCCCTCCTTGGCCTCTCAAAGTACTGGGACTATAGGCATGGACCACCAAGCCCAACGAACCCTGCATTTTCATACACACTTAAATCTCATACTTCAATTAAAAAAAATTGTTACACTGAGCGTGGGGGCTGAGCGTGGTGGCTCACGCCTGTAATCCCAGCACTTTGGGAGGCTGGGGTGGGCAGATCAGTTGAGCTCAGGAGTTCGAGACCAGCCCGGGCAACATGATGAAACCCTGTGTCTACAAAAAATACAAAAATTAGCTGGGCTTAGTGGCACGTGCCTGTGGTCCCAGTTACTCTGGAGGCTGAAGTGGGAGAATCACTTGAGCCCAGGAGGCGGAGGTTCTAGTGAGCCGAGATCACACCACTACATTCCAGCCTGGGTGACAGAGCGAGACCTTGTCTCAAAAATAAATAAATAAAATTGGGGAAGGGACAGAAGTTAATACAAACCTATGTAAAATAGAATTCAAAGAGTACAAAGCAGGTGAGGAGTGAAAAATCAGTTTCCTTCCTTCCCTGGGTCTTTCATTTTTTTTTTTCAGAGGCCACCATCCTTCCAGAAATGTCTACACGTATACAAGCACATCCTTGCTCTTTCTTTAACAAAGAGTAGCATATTGTACACGTTGTTCCGTAGCTTGTTTTTTTCCTCCTAATATATCTTGTAGACCTTGCTATTTTAGTGGTTGCCTGGGATTCTTTTATGACATCGATAATCTTTTTAACTTGGCCCAAATTAGGTTGTTTCAGTCTTTGTTCTCACTACAAGCAATGCTGCGCTGACTTTCTTGGACCTGCGTTTTTGATGCACAGCCATTTGTAGGGTAAATTCTTAGAACTGGACTTAGCAATATCTCATTGTCTGGCTGCAGTGTTGGGCTTCTGCATACAATTCTTTTTGAAGTCTGAAGACCCTGGATTTGAGGCTCCTTGAGGACCCTTCTGTTCTAATAGTCTGTGGCTCTAAGTTGAGTCCTAGATTATGGTTATCTAATTTTGAGTTCTATTCACAGACCCTAGTCTCTTTTTGTCTTTCTAAGCTCAGACCCCAGTCCTGAGACCCTGAACCCAAGTTCCTCAGTCTTGAAATTAGAGATCAGCCTGGCATAGTGAAGGAACAGGGTTCAGAGTGCACAGTGACTGGGTTGTGAAGCCCAGCTCTGCCCCGTCTCCCTTCCCACTGCCCTGCTTCAGCTGGGTGGCCTTGGGCTAGATTATTTACCTCTCTGAGCCTTGGTTCTATCTTCTGTATGTCAAGGGGACTATATGGGAGCCAGGCCCTTGTCTCTAGGATTCTCGATTTCTGATTCTCCAGCTTTGATACCCAACTTGGGTCCCTCACCTCTGTCTGGCTTCTCCCATATCCACTGTCTGATTCTGTCCACTTGAGCTCAGTCTAGCACAGAGTTTAAGAGGGGAGCTTTGGAATCAGACCAACTTGTCCTTCTCAGACACTTACTACTTCACTTCTCTGGACCTCAGCATCCTCATCTCTAAAAGAGAGGTAATAATACTGCCCTCCCACGCTGACAGAATTGCTGTCACACAGCAAGCCCACAAGAAATGCTGGCTGCTGCCGCTATTATTAGTATTATCTCACATTCTTGTTCCCAGTTCCACAGTTTTGGTTCTGGAAAGGCAGCTTGATAGAGAATCACTGACTGCCCTCCATCCCATCATCGTGTAGCTGTAGGGCTCTGTGGGGTCCTGGAGTCCAGAGCCTATGACCTGGCCACATAGTAGGAGATTCCATCACTGTGTGACAAACCGTTACCCAGAACCCAGAAACTGAAAGAATAGCAGTTGATTATTTTGCATGATTCCATGGGTCAACTCAGTGGTTCTTTGGCTGGTCTCGCTTGGGCACACTGTGTCAGCATTGAGCTGCTGTCCAGACTGGACTGGTAAGTGAAGAATGGCTGTGGATGCTGGCTGTTGGCTGGCACGCCTTGGTTCACTCACCCTCCAGCAGGCCAACCTGGGCTTCCTTAAATGGGGGCTGCTCTGAAGGCTGAGGCTCTGGAATTCACACAGCATCACTTCTGCCACATCCAATTGGCCAAAACAAGTCATAAGGCCAGCTCAGACCAAGGAGTCTGGACCCAGGGAGAAATGGACCCCATCTGCTGATGAAGAAGCAGCACAATATTGTGGCCACATCTACCATGGAGCTCAGTAATTGTGTGTTGAATGAATGAGAGGTGACAGAGGTCACTTGACCACTTTGAGCCTCCGTGTCCACATGTGTAAAAGGAATCTACTCATGCCCATTTCAATGTAAGGTCGCCATGAGGAATTAAAATGATGTAATTGAGAGAATGCACAGCACAGGTTCTCAATACACAATAACCATTGTGGATATTTTATTTTATTTATTTGTTTGAGAGAGTCTCACTCCATCACCCAGGCTGGCCGGCAGTGGCACAATCTTGGCTCACCGCAACCTGAGCCTCTGGGACTCTACCTTAGCCTCCCGAGTAGCTGAGACTACAGGTGCACACCGGCACGCCCAGCTAATTTTTGTATTTTTTATAGAGACGGGGTTTTGCCATATTGCCTAGGCTGGTCTTGAACTCCTGGGCTCAAGCCATCCACCTACCTTGGCCTCCCAAAGTGTTAGAATTACAGGCTTGAGGCACTACACCTGGCTCATTGTGGATATTTTAACCAAAGCTCTTTCCTGGGTCTTCCCTAAGTCCTAAGTCCTTTTGTTCATTAGTCCAAAGTGACATTGTACAACCAGCCATTTAGACAATAACTGTGTCCAGATAAGTTTCCCACTTGTTACCATCTTTACATGCCTTGTCTTCCTAGCACTTAGACCATCCTTTCTGCTTTTGTGTTTCTTTTTTTTTTTTTTTTTTTTTTTTTTGTATTTTTTAGTAGAGACGGGGTTTCACAGTGTTAGCCAGGATGGTCTCGACCTCCTGACCTTGTGATCCGCCCGTCTCGGCCTCCCAAAGTGCTGGGATTACAGGCTTGAGCCACCATGCCTGGCCCGCTTTTGTGTTTCTTTGGCACAATGGGGTCAGTAAAGTTTGCTCAAACCCCTCAGAAATAAGCATCAACGTGGCAAACTGACTGTAGGTCAGAGAGTGCAAACTAGAAACTGTGTTTGTTTTGGCCTGCAGAACATTTAATAATAATTGGTATTAGAATTTGAATTGGTTGCTGTATTAGTTCGTTTTCATACTGCTGTAAAGAACTGCCCGAGACTAGGTAATTTATAAAGGGAAGAGGTTTAGTTGACTCACAGGTTCAGCATGGCTGGGAAGGCCTCGCGAAATTTACAATCATGGTGGAAGGCGAAGGGGAAGCAAGGCACCTTCTTCACAAGGCAGCAGGAGAGAGATGTGCTGAGTGAAGGGGGAAGAGCCCCTTATAAAACTATCAGATCTTGTGAGAACTCACTCACTATCACGAGAAGAGCATGGGGGAAACCGCCCTCATGGTTCAGTTACCTCCACCTGGTCTCTTCCTTGACACGTAGGGATTATGGGGATTACAATTCAAGGTGAGATTTGGGTGGGGACACAAAGCCTAACCATATCAGTTGCTAACATTTATTTTATTTTATTTTATATTATATTATATTATTTTATTTTATTTTAGAGACAGAATCTTGCTCAGTTGCCCAGGCTGGAGTGCAGTGGTACAGTCATAGCTCATGGCAGCCTCAAACTTGGGCTGAAGCAATCCTCCTACCTCAGCCTCCCAAAGCACTGGGATTTCAGGCATGAGAGTTGCTAACATTTATAATCAGGAGACTTTACAAAACAATCTTAGGTTTCCAAATTCTCTTGAAATTGCACCATCTGGGTCAGGTGTGGTGGCTCACACGTGTAATCCCAGCACTTTGGGAGGCTGAGGCGAGCGGATCACTTGAGGTCAGGAGTTCAAGACCAGCCTGACCAACATGGTGAAACCCTGTCTCTACTAAAAATATGAAAAAAAAAAAAAAAATTAGCCGGGCATGGTGGCAGGTACCTGTAATCCAAGCTACTTGGGAGGGTGAGGCAGGAGAGTCACTTAAACCCAGGAGGTGGAGGTTGCAGTGAACTGAGATTGCGCCACTGCACTCCTGCCTGGGTGACAGAGTGAGATTCTGTCTCAAAAAAAAAAAAAAAAAAAAAAATTGCACCATCTGTCATCTTCAGCCTCCCTCCCTCATGGGGCACTGGGCTGGAGCTAAACCCTGGTGAAGGATACCCTCTTGGACCCATTGGTGGCTCATGAAGTTGGTTTGGTGAGTCATTACCGGACATGTGGAAAGATGAAGTATAGCAGAACAGAAAATATCACTGTATTGTCCATAGTTACTAGGGCAAGGACTGTTCTGTGGAATTAAGTCTAGTTATGTGTGTTCTTGTGTGGGTGACTTGGGTTGCAGGGTAAAATGTATCTTTTACTGTGAGTTGTAATAAGAAATCTGAAAGCCCCTGATCCACTTTGGCACAAGCTCTATCTAGTCTGACTCACTCTAAAGTTACCTCCTCCCTCGTACGCATTTGAGCTTGGGACCAATGAGTGTCAGGTTGGCTGCTGGAGATTAAAATGGCTCCCTGCAATCTGCTAGGGACTGGCAGTGCCCATGTGTTTTTCCCTGGCTTTCAGGTCTATTCCCCACTCTGAGCATTTGTAAGTGAGAAATGTGTACTATGAATAAATCATCCCTGCTCAGCAAGCAGATTCCTGCTCTACCTGCCTGTCGGGCTCTAGGATCCCCAACCCAGCTCCTAGACACCCAGTCTCTGACCCCTGCTCTCTTCTGCCCACCCAGGAGAACCCGTACGTCATGCGGCGGCCCAACTTCCAGGCCTTGTCAGGGAATGAACGCTTCGAGGGCTTCTGCGTGGACATGCTGCGGGAGCTGGCCGAGCTGCTGCGCTTCCGCTACCGCCTGCGGTTGGTGGAGGATGGGCTGTACGGGGCACCCGAGCCCAACGGCTCCTGGACAGGCATGGTTGGCGAGCTCATCAACCGGGTACGGCTGGGCTGGGGCTGGGGAAGAGGCATGGACCCGGTGAGTGAGGGAGGGCGGGCAGCTGGGCAGCCAGTCGAACCTTAGAAGCAGTCGAACCTTAGAACCTTAGAACCTTAGAAGTCGAACCTTAGAACCTTAGAAGTCGAACCTTAGAATTTGGCCGGTGGCAGAAGTGGAAGGAGCCATGAAGGGCTCCTCAGACCACCTCACTGATGTTGTGCTGTATGCCTGTGCCTGGCGGGTGCCATGGGATGGGACAGAGGAGGAGAGGTGGTACATGCATCACCACCTGTGTCCTGCTTTGCCAAATGCCCCTGTCGTGCCACCTTGGATTAGTCAGTGTGCAAATATTTGTTAAGTGAATGAAAGAGATATGGAGTGGCGAGCAGGAAAAGGTCTGAGGTGGTCAAAGGCTTCCTGCAGGAGGCAGGGCTGAGAGCAGGAAGTGCACCTCACCTGTGTGCTATGCCCAGCACCTGCCGGGGAGGGCCTGGCACGTTATGGACCTGGAGGGTTGCGTGTAGAACTCACACATTCACCCGTTCAGTGGGTGTTTATTGAGCACCTACTATGTTCCTTGCTCCTTGCTGGACATGGGATCCCACTATTAGCACAGTGGATCTGGACCCCGCCCCCAGGAGCTTAGAGTCTCTTTGGGGTGCAAGACAGCAAATGACCACAGCACAGAGCCATCTGGGCTTTGATGGGGGAGCTCAGAGGAGGGGCCCAGAGAAGGTTCCTGACCCAGTCAGGCATCCTGGGGGGCTTCCCAGAAGAGATGATACCCAAAGTGATTCCCAAAGGGCATGAAGGAGTCAGCAAGGTGAAGGGGGTGTGGAAGGGGAGCGTATTTGGAGCAGAGGAAATAGCATCTACAAAGGTGGGGTGATACGAGGGAGTGGGGTGCACTAGAGAAACCAGCAAGGCCTGAGCATGGACAGGATTTGGTTGCAGCTGAGGAGGGATGGAAGGCAGGGCCATGGGAGGTGACAGGCAAGGGTGCAGTGGAAAGGATCTTTGGGCATCAGACAATCCTGGATTTGAATCCTTAAGTGTCATTTCTCTTCTCTGAACCTCAGTTTTCCCCTCCCTAAGATGGGGATAATAATACCTTGCAGGTCTATAGTGAGGGTTACGGGACATGGGGACAAGTACCTCACATATTGCTTGGCAGATACTGGGGGACTGAAATGTAGTTCCTCTTTTTATTCCGGGTGGGAGAAACTATGGGCGCAACTGCCCAGAGGCAGGACTCTGCCCTGGGAGATAAGTAGGCCCCTGCTTAGGACACGCCCAGAGCTGGTGTGCAGAGCAAGTGACTGTGGCCAGAGATGGCCAGGGCAGCCTTGATGTTAGACTTTACTGAGCTCATCAGAGATTCTCACCCTCCTCTCTCTCATGCCAGAATTTACAGCATCCAACCCCCTGAACATCACCAGGAAAGACACGAGAGGGCCACTTTGCTTGACAAGGACGTTTATCCCTTAGGGCACTGACTTTCAAAAGTTATTTTGATAGCAGAACTTTTTTTCCAATTGCAAGCTCCCTCAGAACCCTGGGCAAGAGCAGAGCTGCTCTGGTGGAGGCAGAGATAGGGGGGCCTCCCGTCCCACCCCACAGGCAGGCCCCAAGGCGCTGCCCCATAAAGCTGCCAGCTGGCTTGAAAACTTCTGCCCCAGGGTGAGTTTTAAGGTCAGGGTGAATTTTATTGTTATTATTATTTTATTTATTTATTTATTTTGGAGACAGAGTCTCCTCTGTTGCCCAGGCTGGAGTGCAGTGGCACGATCTCTGCTCACAGCAACCTCCACCTCTCTGCAACGTCCACCTCCCAGGTTCAAGTGATTCTCCTGCCTTGGCCTCTTCTGAGTAGCTGGGATTACGGGTGCGCCACCATGCCTGGCTGATTTTTGTATTTTTTGGAGCAACAGGATTTCGTCATGTTGGCGAGGTTGGTCTTGAACTCCTGGCCCCAAGTGATCTGCCCACCTCACCTCCAAAGTGCTAGGATTACAAGTGTGAGCCACTGTACCCAGCTCAGGGTGAATTTTAAAGCCTGAAGCCCAAAGAGGCCCCTGGTGAGACAGGAGATGCGTAGCCCCAGAGCTGACAGCTCTATGCCCACCTGAGGGTGTAGGCTTTCTCGTGACCTGTTTCCACAGCCTGGTCTTTAGTCACGTAGGCTCAGAAATATTCTTTCATCTGGTATCCCAGAAATAAGCAGACTCCAAGGGAGTAGCCCTGCACTCTGAACTGGATGCCCTTTTTTCACCAACACAGAAGTCTGGAACAGTCCTTATTTACAGCTGTCTGACCTTTGTGTCTCAGGGCCTACTCAGTAGTGTGGGGTGAGAGGATTTGGGGCCTGGGGCCAGCAAAGTGTGGCAGCCAGGAGTGTCTCTGGTTGGCTGTTTGAATCTTAGCTCTGCTGTGCACTGGTTGTGTGGCTTTGGACAAGTGCTTAACATTTCTTTAGGTTGTAGTTTGTTCTACTGTAAAATTGGGGAATTACAGTCCTTTAGCACATAGGGTTGTTCTGAAGAACAACATGCAATGAAGAACTTAGAACAGGGCTTGGTGCATAGTGGGTGCTGTATGCATGTGTCCTTTTTTTTTTTTTTTTTCTTTTTCCTTTGAGACTGGATCTCTCTCTGTCACCCAGGCTGGAGCACAGTAGTGCAATCACAGCTCACTGAGGCCTCAACCTGCTGGGCTCAAGTGATCCTCCCACCTCAGCCTCCCGAGTTGCTGGGACTATAGGCATATGCCACCATGCCCAGCTAATTTTTGTGGTTTTTGTAGAGATGGGGTCTGGCCCTGTTGCCTAGGCTGGTCTTGAACTCCTGGGCTTAAGCAATCCTCCCACCTCAGCCTTCCAAAGTGCTGGGATTATACTATTTTTATTATTGTTATTATTCATACTGGCATAGCCAGCACATACATAGATTTGTGTGTTCATCCATTTTCCATTCAGCCAGTATTTGTTGGGTGTCTACTGTATACCAAGCCCTGTGCTATACCCCGGGGATACCATGGTGAACAAGCCCCATGTGCTCTTATTGAGTGGGCTAAAGGGTGTGGGCCTCAGCAGAAAGCCCATGGGATGCCCTTGAAGAGTTTTTGGGTTTTTGTTGTTGTTGTTGTATGTTTGTTTGTTTTGTTTGTTTTTCTGAGACGGACTCTTGCTCTGCTGCAGCCCAGGCAGGCTGGGGTGCCGTGGGGTAATCTTGGCTCACTGCAACCTCTGCCTCCTGCGTTCAAATGATTCTCCTGCCTCAGCCTCCTGAGTAGCTGGGACTACAGGCGCATGCCACCACACCTGGCTAATTTTTGTATTTTTAGTAGAGATGGGTTTCACCATGTTGGCCAGGCTGGTCTCAAACTCCTGAACTCAGGTGATCCACCTGCCTCAGCCTCCCAGAGTGCTGGGATTACAGGTGTGGGCCACCGTGCCCGGCCACCCTTGAAGGGTTTTGATCTGGCTCAAGTGAATTGGCCCCGGGGTTGGGGGAAGCAGTGGTAACAGGAAGACCAGTGAGGAGATGAGGAATGAGCTGGTGGGCCTCAGGCGGGAGGACATCAGAGCTAGAGACTGGGGGAAGGGCTAAAGAGCACCAGGGCTTGGTAACTGCCTAGGGTGGGAGATGCAGGAGAGGACAGAAGGGAGAGTGTTCCTCCTGTGTCTGGCTTGGGCATCTGGGTGATGGCAGTGACATTTATGGGGAGAACACTGGAGGAGGAGCTGGAGCATGAAGGATAGGCGGGGCTTGGCCTTGCCCTGCTGTGGGATAGCTGAGTGTGCCGAGCTGCACAGGAATAGTCACCACCGTCATCACAACAGCAGCAGCTGTCATTTGTTGATTTCACACCATGTGCGAGGAACTTTTCAAGTGTTACTTAACATAATTCTCATAACAGTCCTTCATGGCCTGAGGATCACTGCCCAGTGTGAGACCTGGAGTCCCTAACGCACAGGGCTGCAGCCAGGTGTGTCTGACTTAAGGCCCGTGCCCTTTCCAGCCCTCCAGCCAGGAACTTGGGAAGCCTGGAGTACATTGATGGAGTGGCATGCTGTGCTAGGGCCTTGTCCAAGCTTTCTGACTGTCTCCATCCTTGACTCCTCATGGCCACCCAATGAGGGAGGGACTGGTATTAGCCCCGTTTTCTCAAATGTACGATGAGACACCAGGGTTTCATGTCCAGGCCACATGGCTAGAGACTGGGAGAGCCAAGGTGGGCACCCCATCAGGGTGGCCCAGAGCTGGTTAGTGACTTCCAGATGGAAGACAGCCTGGGGCACCAGCATCCCACCAGTCATCCCCGGGGCCAGGCACAGGGCTCCTTGGCCAGTCTTGAATTATGACCCATTTATTCCACCCAGTGGCCATGGCTGGCATTGGCCTTCTCCCTGCCATCACTGCCATGGTGTGAATTCAGGTCCCACCCCTCTCATCAGCCTCCTTACTGGCCTCCTGGCTTCCAGTCTCCACTCTCCAGCTTGTCCTCCAGCAGAACCTTTCTGCAGTGCGAGTCTGATCTGTCACTTGTATGCTTTCATGGAAGCCCCTGAGGCCATCAGGATAAAGCTTAGCCTTCAAGGACAGAGAAGATCTTAGTTCGGGGTCCCAGGAAGCTGACTCTGAGAAAGAGATGTACAGGCAGGAGGTGTGATGGCGAGCCCCTGGAAACCTGCCCCATGCGGGAGGGAAGGAAGCAGGCTTGGGCAGAGGAATTGAGCTGTGCTGCAGTCACAACTGGGCCTTAGCCGCCCCACAGGCAGCTCTGGAGCTGGACTGGCCGTCAAGGACCTCCCCCTGTGGTAAGGGTGCCAGGCCTTTAAGCACCCACTGATACGTCACTGGACGTGGGCTGCTTCTGGGGAGTCAGGACTTTGGGTGAGGGGACACTCTTCTACTGACAGAGCTGAGAGCCGTCAGCCACCTACACCCTGAGTAGCTGAGGCAATGAGTGCCCCACTCCTGAAACAGAGTCTGGGTAGC